GAAAAAATTATATATATATATATATTCAAATTCAATATTAAAGTCAGATTTATTTAAACAATTTTTGTTTTCCAATATTTAAAAGATTTAGATTGGTTTCTTCTGAATTAAATAGAAAAGTGACAAACTTTTTCTTATTTGTTTTTCCTGATAATTCGTAGTTTTGCTCTATATCTATATGTAATTTTTTTTTTAAGGTATGCAAACACAATTTTATTCACGAGAGAGGAGGACAGAGGAAAAATGTACATATAGATATAATTTTAATTGATGCCCTCTCATTTACTGTGATAGGTGCTGTTTAGAATAATGTTTATTAAGAATGAGTGAGAGATCCACTAAAACATGTTAAATATTAACAGATAATTAACTGATCCATTTTTGTGTATATATTTGCACATACACTATCATACTATATACATACCCTACCTCTATGGAAATGTTTAATTTCATATTTAATCAACTAAGAAGCACTATACTGCTCTATGCTATGAATCTAAAACTAAAATAGATGGAAAACAATAGATAGAAGAAGAAAGAACTGCTCGACTTGGGGATACCCTGAACCCTCTATGCTGATATTTTAATCAATCTGCATTTCTTTTATGCACACCTACATACACATGCATCCACACGCACGCATAAGCCTGCGCTCTGCTAACTGCGCAGTAAGCAGCGTGCTAATTTTCTAGTTGAATAATTTCTTTTGTATTAGGACTATCTTCATGAAACTTTCAGAACGTGATCATAATATTCCGAAACACAAGTCTATAGTTTTTTTAAATACGTTTAACAATTGAGGGCAAAGGGGGTGTGGTGTCCAAAATCTGTAAATTACAAAATCTTCGTATTTATCATATGTATATACACAGTAAATCTGAAGTCGCCACGTTTAATATTGTTCAAATTAGACTGGAAAAACTAAATCAATTTATAGGTTATTCTTGATAAAAACGATATCGGATAAGTTAGTTAAGATAAACTTGTACTGCATATGGTATACACGAGTATGTATGTTACATTTCAAGTCACTAGGTCTTATAACTAACAGACTGACTCAGTTCGTCGACCTGTGATGATTCCTTCTGCCTGTTACATACTTTTTACAAAACCATTGTAACCTGATTTACCATTTTCAATGCGTTCAGGGTAAAAAAAACCAACAAGAGCGCACAAGTCAGACTAGGGATAGAAAGGAACCAGATATTATGCGGTTTAAATATGCTATAGAAATGGGAGTATTAGGACAAAAGCCCGCGTAATTACATATATATATTTATATACATTATAGGTTGTAAGCTGTTTCCACACCAATCCGCCTCTTGTAACCATTATATCCTGAACTGCCCATGGTTCACGATACAAAAATAAAATAGAAATATATTTGATCACTTATATAGAATATATATACAAATAAAAAACCTTAAAAGGAAGAGAGAGGAAACATGCAGGCGGTTGGTATATAAAGAGTAATACACAATGTGCTAGGTCGTTGGGGAACATACAATTAGAATTGATGCATATCAAGCAAATCGAAACATATATATACTACATATAGTATGTGCTACTGATAAGATGGATATGTTCCAAAAAGCAAAGCCCTTTTTACGTACCTGAAGAGCATTGCGAGGAGTTTCCTGACATTTGCTGGCAAGTTTTTGCAGGACACACAATCCTTATTTCTAAAACGCACACAGTTTATAAAAATATATGTTTATATATATA